CAATTCCAATCCTGCTAATTAATAGTGACTCCATGACTTTAACTTAAGCAAGACCATGATCACATATTGATTAAAATGTCTCATCTTTAGATAGAACTGTAGACATTTGATGGATATAAGAATACTAATACTAATTAAAATGTTCCTTCAAAACTAATTCATATCATCCTCAGCTGAAGCCTATTGCTGTTGATGTTATTGCATGCTATTGTTAGCATTAAGCTCAAAGCTGTGCCAAAGTACGCTTCAAACAGTAGCATGTGTAAAGACTACAATGTGGCTCTAAGGATAAAGTTAATTCTGGCAATTTGTTATTGTCAGTTGATGGTGGGAACATGCAGTGCTAACTTTAGCATTTAGCCTAAAACAGCTGCTAACATGGCTAACACTCTTGTTATCACCAGATAATTGTAAACCATAAAAAAGCAATGTTCTAACTCTTACCTCAAGCTAGGTAATACGCAAAGTAACTAAATTACCTTAAATTAATGGATTTATACCTGTCTCTTTCCTACTTTAATTTAGTTAGTTTACACTTTACAGATATGTATTGCTACCTACTTATGAAGCAAAGATGGGAAATAGAATACTTCCTGTAGATCTAATTACTAATTGTATACCATCAGTCCTCATTTTGGTTTGCCCTCCCTCTCATCCACATGCTCTTCTTTTAAACATGTGAGGCGTAGATGTAAAACTTTTATAGGCCTAGCTAATCTGACTTTAACAGTAGAAGACAATTATGTCTAAACAGTGCACTGATATCATCTCTCCCCTCCCGTCTCCCTCTCTACTTCTCTGTCTCTCAACCTCAATCATTTCATTTGGCCTATATATAAATGCCAGACCTGTCACACAGGCAATTGGAACTACCATGGGAATTTGTGGCAGGAAGCTGAAAAGAGGGAAGCAAGCCAAATGAATAACAATAAGCCTGAAATGCATCATTGCCATGGTAGGAGAAATGAAGCCAAAGCAGGTAAAGTTAGACGGCTTTACTCACTGGCAGCAGCTCAGATAGACAGGTATAGGCAGACCAGTTAATAGAGAAAGGACAAAAATAGCTCAGGCTGTTCTAACAATTCTCTGAGCGACTGGCCCCAGGCCTCAGGTCAGGTGTGCTGAGTGAAAAGTCCAAAGAGTCAGAACATTCATTACTGTCAGAGTAGAAGGTGTAGGAGGGGGAAACAACATCATAAAGATACAGAAGGAGAGAAGTTGTCACGATCTGTCTGTGTTGTGTTTTGCCATGTCTAGATCTGTCTTTGGTTTCCTGTTTTATTTTGAAAAGTGTTCACCCCCCGTCTTGTCGGTTGCTTCCTGTCTCTGTGTTCCCTCCTGCCTGATTACCTGATTGTGTTCACCTTGTGCCCCTGTTTTCTCCTCCCTCCTCACCTGTGTCTTGTTTGTGTGATTAGTCTTGTGTGCATTTAAGTTCTGGTTTTTCTGTCTGTCGTTGTGAGAGTCTTGATGTTGCTGGAAGGATTTTGTTCTGAGGGATTTCTACGGATTGCCTTGCCTTGCCTTATTTTACTTTGTTGGCCTAGTTCCGCAATAAAAGTATTTTGGATTTCAAACAACATTCTGCGTTTGGGTCCTGTGTACCTTGCCCTCCAGCCGTGACAGAAGTGTTGCATTCTCAACGTTTTTGCGGTAAAGGGGCCCTGTTCCCTGTGTTCATTTTTCAGGTTTATATTTGCCTTTTGCTCCTCTACTGTGACAAGCTTCCATGCTTTAATGTTCAAAAAGCTCTTTATTTTTCTCATGATGCCTGTGCTGCAGCACCTCTTGTCACCCTCTGTCTGAATCCAGAGCCCAGTCTGCTCTGATTGGTTAGCTGGCCGGCTCTGTTGTGATAGGTCAACTGCTTGGAGATAACGCACCCCTTAGCCACGGCAAAATGTTTTGGAGCGCTAGCCAATAGGCGTGAGTGTTACATTGATGTCATTATGTTCAGGAAGTAAACAAAGGAGTCTATTCAAGGCATTTCAGTCAGGGAGGGGGGGAGTATGTGGGAGAGAACCTCTCTCTTGAGGGAACTTTGGTATTTACATGCACGAAACTTTGGTATTTACATGCACGAAAACCTATATAACACACTACAGGAAAGGAAAACCCCATAAAGCCTCAATAGGACCCCTTGAATTTACACAAATGAGACATGTTTTGATGGCGTTTTCTTTTTAGGAAGTGCAGCAAGAACATTGAGTACAGTTAATCTCACGGCCGATTAAAAAAAATGAAATCCTTTTGTAATACATTTCTTAAGTTCTCTGGCGTGCTGATTGGAGAACATTATTTGCTGTTATTTACCTGTTAAGGGTAGCCTAGACACAACAGAACAACTAGTGATGTGGTCAGAGCACTGACCTTTTAGAAATAGAGGTGAAACCATTTTATTCGGCACAAAAATCATGCACAAAAGCCAAACATTTGCTCTCAACAAGCCATATGAACTTTCACAGCTGAAACCAGGGACTGTGCCAGGTGTGGATTAACTTTGCATTTTTAAGAATTTGTGAAACATATCCATGTCAGTTTGGCTAATCTGGTACTGTGGAGAAACAGCAGTGAGGGAAGTCAGCTGTGCTTGGAATTATTTTTGATCTTTCTAGTTTCACGACCATTATCGCACTAAAACAGCAGGGTTGTCTCATATCGGGATTTTCATTAATTAACTTAGTGAGTTTCCGCTTGCCACTGGCAAATCCATTTCTTAAAACTTCTATATAATTATATCAGATCATTAAGCAGCTTTATCACAAAGATGAATCTGGGCTAATGGATGCATGTTTTTTAGAGTTTAGAGATCTAGAAAGTAATTATCTTCATCTAATTTTAGTTGGTTTCAAAATCATCTCCAAGCTTTTGCTTAAACAGGTTGCTATAACAACTGGGTGTCGTGTATTTTTTGGCAATAACCATGGCAAATATCTACATCATTTTATAATTGATTATGAACAGCAGGTTGGTTTAAAAGTGAATAAATGAGGCGCATGGAGGACCTATAAGTGCATACATGTTTACATGCCTGCACACCTAGAGACATAGAACCTGATGGTAATAGAAGCTGTATAATTAGATTCCACGAGAGGTAGAATATGGGGTTTTTAATTGACTGTCTTAATTGACTGCCAGCATGCACAAATCAAGCTGGAGAGATCTGAGAGATTTGAAAACTGAGACAGAGCCTCTTGGGTAATAGTTAATCAGCCTCAGCTCCTCAGAGTGCAAAGAGCATAATTACATACATTATAGAGGGGGTAAAAATAAGCTCCAAGAATAGATGTAATGTGTAGGTGCATGCATTGATTAAGGTGGCTATATTGTGCAATCATCCTTTGAAATGCACGGAGGAAAGAATGACTGCTGAGTGACAAAACATCGAATTAATAATAGTTTGACCAAAGACAAAAACAGCTTTTTTTGTATTTAAAGGTTGTCTTACGCAGCTTGGGTGTTTGTGAATGTGTGTGCTTCTAGTGTGTCTTTACATGGCTTTATACCCCTAGTGCTGCACAGAAATAAACACAGATTAAAGATGGACAACATAAGTGAAAAAGTCATTGATTCAGCATCTCACTTCAACATTATTGTAAATCTAAAAAAGTAACAAATGCTGCAGGGCCAGAACTTTATTCCAGGCGTTGTTCTCTTTGTCAAAATCTGGCAAGTACATTGCATTAATGATGCAACAAAATTGCCGATGTTGCCTTCAGTCTACAGCATATCCATAGAGACCGTGTTATTAATGGCTGACACAAAAGACCCGTTTTTTTTCAGGTGAACCTTTTTATAATGCTTTTTCTCAGGGAGGATGGCCTAGTCATTACATTACATTACATGTCATTTGTTAGATGCTTTTATCCAAAGCGACTTACATACATTCAGTACTGCGGACAATCCCCACAGGAGCAATTTGAGGTGAAGGGACACAATGACTTGCTGACTGCAGTGGGACTCGAACTTGCTACCCTCTGATTCGAAGTCCACTAACCACTAACCACTGAGCCACAGCCTAGTCTTTCATTAAATGCATTTCTTGTGTGACAAGTTGGATCATGATGACTAAGGGCTGTGTACTAGTTGTGCATTTTAGGATCACAGACTGATATTTGAATTTTTAAGTGGATTCAAATTGATAAATCAATATATGTGCAGTTTGTGCGTGAGTGTGTGTGTATGTGTGTAAAAGGTGGGTAAACAACCTGCATATTACTATACAAATGTCAGGAAATACCAGCACATAGATGCCAAGCACATTAGAAGTAGCGCTATGTTCCTGAAATTCTCCTCCTCTCCGTCACTCTGAGAGTAAAAGTGGTGCTACAGAGGCAGCCAGGGGCGAACCACAATAACCTCGATTGCATAACTGATTACACCTCTCATCCACTAAAAGAATTCTGAATCATAAAATGAGTGGCATAGCTGGTAATATGTATGATAATGCCACATCGAACATAACCTCCCTAATTCAATAACAGCTTATATTTGTAATTTAATTTGAGGCTTCAGTGGAGTGGAAAAGAGCAATGAAAGAAATTCAACACTCCCTAAGCAGAGCAGGAGTTTCTCAGTGCGTACCAAGGTATTCCTGCTGGCACCACCACCACCACCAGCATCATCATCATCACTGGTATTGATGTGGCATTTGCAAAGCAGGTCAACTTAAATAATTGATATCTCTTATTACTTCCTCTACTCTGTTTTCCTTTTAAAGGCTTTCTCTGATTCAAACAGACTTCCATATGAATACAAACTCTAAGTCTCGTGTAAAGACTTTTCTCCTGGGTCTCACAAGGGGATCTAAATGTTTCTCCTCTGTAATTCTGCACGCCACTCTCCATCTGGAATTGTTTTCACACACTGTGCATTGATTTAAGAGCCATCCTGTGAATTGGTGTGAGTGTGAAATAAAACAGAATTGAAGAGCAGACAGAGAAATAACAGAGAAGAAGAAAAAGAGCAAATCATCATTAGAGAAAATAACAGGTGCCTACCTGAGGTAACGCAGTGCTATGGTTCCAGACCCTGCCTCAGCTGAGCTTTGGTTCATCTTGTCCATCTGATTTCTCCCAGCACGACTCTGCAAATATGAGAAAGGATGAGCTATGCCGATCCAAACAAAACACTTCCGTCCCTTCTCTCTGACTCTAAATCAATCAGCACACTGTCTCCCTCTCAGCCCGGGGAATAGACTGAGAATGTAAATGGGCTTCCTCGCTCTGTATCTCTCTGTGATTGGCTCAGAAGCTGGAAGGTAATTACTGGCTGATACTCGCACTCTGAATATTGCCTCTATATATCTGCCTCTCCTCTCTTGCTTTCCTCACTCTGGCCCCGGCTCATTCTCTAATAAAACCAGCTGGCTGTCTGTGTATCAGCTGTGCTCACTGGGAGCCAATTAAGAATCAGAAGGCACGGTGCTCGCCGGCTGATTGGCTCAGGCTGCCTCGATCATAGCTGTTCAGTCATCCAGAGTGCAACCTACCCCCCTCCCATCCCTCAAATTCACACAAACACACACACATTAGTCCTCAGTGGAAAAATGCTCCCTTGATGTAGAATCTCGAGCACGCATCATAGTGGGGAAACACCTTTCATATGGTGTTGGGAGGTAAATGAGGTCCAATAGTCAAACTGAGATGGTAACAGTAAAGAATGTGAGTGGGTACACAGAAGCACTTTGTAGCTACAGCACAAATGATGGGTGATAAACAGAATAACAATGACCTGAAAAGGATTTTGAAGCATGCAGATGGATCAAATGGATTTATGGCAGCTGATGAAAACATGGAAGGAGATAAATAATATCATTAAAATGTAAATGCACGGTACAACAAACATGCCAAGGGAAAGATTTGTACAGTAGTATCACGGGACAACTGTGGCTGCCAAGGAATGAAGCTCATAAGTGGGTCGATGTGAAAAACAATAGCTCACTTTCTTCTCCTTTTCTCTCCCTCCCTCCAGACTTAACGGCCTTTCCTTTCAGCTCAACTGACAGAGTTAAGTCCGTGGTCTTGTATAACAGTTAAGCGTGCAAGTCTTTGTTTTCATGCCACATGACATTACACAAATGTACCTCTTAGGAAGATTACATTCATGTAAGGACAATTGAAGACAAAATGCTGAATGAAAAGTTGGAGTACTTGGCCATCTAGGGGTAATACATTGTTATTGCAGTTTACAGCGAGAGACATGGTAGACCAAAAAAGGGCTGCAGAACGTGTTAAACATTTTTGACAGATAAAAGCAATATACAGAATTTTGTTTCTATATTCAACTTTATAATGAAATCCAGGCTTGACATAAATGTTAAATCCACTACATCTACAATATGTTCCCTTGCCTTACTTAGGTTCCCATTTGAAATATTAACAGTTTCTGTAATTGTTTCCCCTGTTCATACTTCCTGTTAGGAGATCTCTCCGAAAAGCAAGTCAATGCATACTAAATCACAGATTATTATTTTTGGAAATGTGCATATGGTTGAGTAAAGGAGAGTATTATTTTTAAAGGTGTCCTATCATGCAAAATGCACTTTTTTATGTATTTTATACATAAATGTGTCCCCGGTGTGCCAGGGAACTCACAAAGTGTCAGAAAATAAAACCCTCTCTCTTTTCCTCCGTACCCACATCTCTAAAAAACGGGGGTACAACGGAGCTGATCCAGATTTGCGTGCGATATGACGTAATATCGGAAATGTGGACCCCCGGACCTATCAGAAACATTGCTATCAGAAACAATGGGCAACATGTTTTGGACGTAATATGGTCTTTGTTTACATTAGCAAGCATCACTAACACTCAGAGCTAACCTGTACTGGAGAGAGTATATGTAAAAAATCAGGAAATAAAAAAAGGAACTCACCTTGTGGTAAACCCGCAAGAGAATAAGCATTTGAGCTCCATACTGTTTCAGAAATAATTCTTGAAGTGGTTTGGAACATGATATGGCGTTTAATCACAGGAGCATTTAGCTGCATCTGAGCAGAGCAGACAGCCTTCTTCACATAACTCACATGTGCCTGGTGCTCAAAAGGGGGCGGAGCCAGCAGAGAATCAGCCAAACAGGCCTGAAATAGAGGGATATGAGGGATGTGTAAAATCAAATGCATGATCTGTTAGGTGTTTTGAGCAAAACACATCTTAGATATGTTTTTTATATATCTGATACCCATAATATGTCTAAAAATAGCATAATATGAGATCTTTAAAGAGGCCCATTAGGATTTTTGAGGTTTTCCCTTTCCTGTAGTGCAGTGGCGGACTGGCCATCGAGACGTTCGGGACGAATCCCGATGGGCCGGTACCGAATTGGGTCGGACAATTCCCTAGCAAAACCCCCCTACCGTTGACAATTTACTAAAAAAACATGAAAAACAAGATTTTAACTTTAGTTTATTTTTATCTAGCTTTTTCTAATTTAGAAAAAAAATGTTTTATATGTCCACTCAGGTGGACAGTATGCGTTAAAGTCTAAACTGAAAACTTGTAAATTTGGAAAAAATGATAAATAAAGATGTGCAAACTTAAAATTACATTATAATAACTTAAGTATATATATTTAAGGCCCAAAAAAATATTCCAAATGAAGTATTTTCAAGAAGAACAGTAGCAGTAACAGTATGAAGTTTAGTTGAAATATAGCCAGTGATGCATGACGTCCACTTTAGTGGACAGGCGAATAATCATGATATCCTGCAAACATAAAATCAATACTTTGACAATTTATGAATTATATGATTCCTTAGTTGTAACTTGATGTCACCAAATGTTTTATACCTGCAGGAAGCGCTTTCCATGAAAGGATTGGCAGGATATCGGCAGGTGACTTGGTCCATCTGGCTTTCTGTCGTTCATCTTGGTTTAGAGACATTTATCATGCACTTGCACTGACTTTCCACTAAGTGGCAGTGTATGGGATGATGCAATAGGGTCCTATGTAGTGGCTGATGGTGCAACTATGCCATCAAAACCCATGCATATACAAGAAAACACCTCTCTGCGTGAAAGGGTTAGCCCTTTTGGGGAAAACAGGAACAATTCACAATGTTTTGAGAGCTTGCTCCTCACTCACATCGCGGTCAGCAACAGTGGATCAGTAGGTGCGTAAAGTTGTTGTTTGTCTGTAGAAGCTCTCCTTTTTTGCTCCACACACTGGTGATGTAACTGCTAGAAATGAAAGCACTTTCTATGTACACTGCCTCGTGCAGATGCTTGTGTGCAGCAGGAAGATTCAACCAAATAAAAAAAAGACAAGTGTAATGAAATCAACTACAAATGCCATGCAATGATTACTATCACTGTGAAAGTCTCAATACATCCAGGAAGAAACTCAAGATTATTATCCTATTATCATGTTTTTGCCTGAAAAAAAAAATCTAGGGGCTTTACTGGGAATGCAAATGACATTTCTCAATAACTTAAAAAAAAACAGAAATCGTATTTCAAAAATAGTTACCGTTTAATTTTCTGGCGATCAACTATTGTTGTGCTCAAAAATTGTGAATGAACAGGCAACCCAACCATGAAAGAGGGGTTAAAATTAGTTTTATTATTATTTGATAGAGCAGAAAAAATCCAAAAAACAAACAAATACTTCTCATACATTGTTTTCTTTTCCATTTGGGCCGCACTGCATTTCGCAGAGTTCTGACCCCAAACAAACGGAATGGTGAATTTGTTGTCAAACAGCAGCAGGCAGTAGTCAGGACAGCACAGGGTTACACTCAGGAGGGCACAAAATGACCGGCTCGTTCCAGATTGCTTATTTTTGCATCCACAAGACGCGGGCTGCTACCTTGTGCCTGTCGGGAATGTACAGACTACCAGGAAGATCCCCGATGCTACTCTGGGACAGAAATACAAAATCTTAAGCGATTTAAGTTAAACTTCATTTACTTGTATTTCTATCAGCAATGTTGTTGTTGTTGCACCATCCTAAATGATACCCAAAACCTACAGCGATGATACCCCGGTGCAGAGGGATAAACTTCTACCCAGTTACCGAGCGCAGTGCACCATCTTTAGGTATGGATCCTGATAATCAGGGAGCTAAAGAGCGCACCCAGGATACAGGACACACATCCTGACAATGTCGCATTCGATGATCACATCATGGTTAAATTATGAAAAAGTGAGGCAACAGGGCAGCAAGACTCCAGGTGTGTAATTACATAGACATTTAAATCATCATCCCCATTGTTTCCATGTGAAAATTAAAACGAATAGACAGAAAATAGATATTGAGAAAATAACTGCAGGGATGGTCCACCTCTATTGTCAGTTGGGTTTGAGTTGGTTTTTTTAAACATATTGCTAGCAAAACATCCAGATTATTTAAAATATGCACAATCATTTTAACCTTCTTAAATTCAACACGTCAATATTTTAAGTCTTGAATGTAGTGACACTTTCAAATTGTCCACAGAAATGTCTGAGTGGGCCATCCCAGTGAGTGAAATGAAAGAGTTTTTAAAATAACTCCACGAGCAATTGGAATTCCCCTGTTGAATGTAGTCATGTATAATGTTCTCCTCTAGCTTATCCTGTGCTGCTGCAACCTGATAAAATGCACTATAGATCATGTGAAAGGCATAGTGAGCTCAATTCAAGGACCCGACATAAACCATACACACCTTAATGTTAAAGACTAAGAAGTTCATGTCATTTGTTGCTATAGGGGTTTTTGCATAACTACATTCTGAAAGCTGTCCAGCTTCTCGAAGACCAATCGTAGGGTGAGTGGGAGCCACTGGACACACAAGAGAAAACAAATCATTTTAGGTGGAGATCCATTCAAACGTAGGGCATAAGCATATATCTTTACTGACATGACCCTATAAATAAACCCAGAGACAGTTTGTCTATAGAAGAAAAAAAAGAATGCACCACAACCTATATCTAAAAGCAAAACAATGTCAGAAATATGACATTACTTACACCCCCTCAGTCTAGCATGAATTCATGTTTATATCCAGAGAGGGTTCAAATAAACTAGACGCCTTCTAGCAGAAGGGATTCCATTTGGGCTCCACTAGTTCTTTGGAAGTTTTTTTTCTTTTTTGACAATATTCAATACGAATAGTCCTCCAAACATATGCTCCGTGTCTTTACATGAGTAAGTGAAACCCTAATCTTTATTCTTCCTCTTAAGAAAAAACTAAGTATTTAAAAGTAGGTCACAACATGGAACCCAGCAGATGTAAAACCACCTCAACAGTAACATTAGCCTGTAAATTCTTACCTCAACAAGAGGCCACTTCCAAAGTATCAGTGAGCACAATATTCCAAACACAGTATATGACTTACAGATGAAAAGACAAAATCCTAACATTCAGCCATACAAAAACACACGTCAACTTCTCTACTATACACGCTGTGGGTTTGAGAGAAGAGGAAGTCTGTGTGCAGATAAAGATATTTTTTAGTCTTTTCTTTTTTTGCAAAGCTGAAGCAGTTATTATTGTGGATGGTCCTCGAAGCTCAACCACAATCCCTGCGGCGAGGTCTTCAGTAAAGTTCAGTTCGGCCACCACATGGGCCTGAGTCTGACGGCTCAGACTGGAGAGGGGGAGGACGTAAGGCGAAGATTTGAACGTGTGTACGAGCGATTATTAATTTGCCCCAGCCTAATCCAGAGGCAGGGGAGCTCGGGTGTTATTCCTCTTGGTGCAACAGAGAGGATCAACCAACATACAAGGAGGGAGAGGTAACATCGCTGGAGAAGTTTGAAAAATGGTACACGCCCATGTAAACCCCAACCCTCAAAAAAGGTTCCCAAATTCAATTCGACATATTCCTTGTGGGTCAGAAGCCCACGCTGTTGCATCGGAACTCCGTTTGGGGTGAAGGGTTCAGGTAAGGAAGATGGTTGCAGAAAGATCTGAGAAAGAGCTGAAGGAACACCTCTATCCAAAATAAGAAACTAGGCTGATTCTTTCCTGCACCATTGGGCCAGAAGCAGAGTCCATAGAAAGGATTAGAATGATCATGAGAATGGCTGTTATTGATATTAAGAGAGGGAATAGTTATGATGTCAGTAGGGAGGAAGATTGCATTATTTCCATGTGTTGGCTGCTTGGGAGATAGAGCGGGAGGGAATCATGTCCAGCAGGTACTCTCGCTGACGCTCAACAGCAGAGGTGGTCTTATGGGCAGACAGGCTGGGGTTCACATAGGCCATAGTCACACCTGCCGGGAGGAAAATGGCAGGGTCAGTGTACTGGAAAAAGAGCTGTTTAACATTTGTGTATGATCAAACATAACAGTATTTTGACTCATGTGGGAAGAAAGTTAAAGGTCCTATGTCATGGCCATTTCTACTGATCATAATTCCATTGTTGAGGTCTACTAGAATAGATTTATATTGTGCAATTTTCCAAACTCACATTGGTTTCTCATACAGCATCTCTGTATAGTATGTGTATTCACTCTCTGTCCTAAACGGCTTGTTGGAGCTCCTGCCCCCCCCGCCCTCCCTGTGAGCACAGTGGCCGTCTGCGAGACAGCAAGACACAGCCCGAAACACACACACACCCGCAGCCTGGCTGGGAGTTTATGTGTGTGCCAATGCTGAGTTCCGCGGTGTCTCGCCGACCCCACACCAGTGAGCCAGCTCAGTGTCCCGCTCCTCGCAGCAGCGAGCCTCGCAACGTCCCGCCGAGTGTGTGTGTGTGTGAGGAAGTCCGCGGATTGGTCCAAACGTAACGGCTCCGCGGACGTAACGCAACGGCTCTATAGTTACGTCACTATACCCGAAATCCGTCACTATACCCAAGAAGTAAACAATGGAAAAAGAGAAATCTCCAACGAGGCATTCTGGGGCAGCATAGACAGGTCTTTTCTGTGTTAGAGTTTTACTCGCTACAGGGTGTACTTTGAGGGTTTGTGACCCT